TTCGCTAACCATGCTATGGAAAAGGTCATCCCTCTGCCCGCTCCTCACACTTTACGCCCATCCTTCTTATTATGACCGGCATTCTGCTACACGCGAGTTTATTTAAGGTCGACTCCCCGGCGGAACCGAAGCCGACCCGCCCGGCGCACAGCCTCCCTCCCCACTGCGATGTGCCCAGCGCCGAGAACAGCCCTGCTCGGAGCAGGTGCTCCCAGTGCTCATGCGGAGGGTGAATGGACCGAGCGCTCTGGCTGCTGCACTGGGGGCTGCTACAAGCTCATCCGGACCCCTCTCCGGCTGGGCGAGGAAAAGCAAAAGAGACGCCCCCTGCCCCAGCCGTTGTTCTATAAGTGACGGAGAGACAGAGACCTCCAGAACTAACTTCTAGTTTCTAGAAAACACAGAGGCTAGGGGAACAAAAGGATCAGACAAATCCAGGATGTGCCCAAAGCCTGGACACTTCAAAAAGTACAGGGGAGGGGAAAGAGGCAGAACCATTCTTTACTGAGAGACAGACGGTGTGTGAACCTTGAATGAATCCTCGGTGGGGCCGGGAGGGGGAGCGGGGAGGACACGAGGCTGGGATCACTGGGGGAAATCTGAACATGTGTGAACATGGGGGTTGTGTGTTTTACAGGCATGATGATGGTTTTGCGGCCACGCGGGAGAATGTCCACATCTAAGGAGTTGCACGTGAGGTGTGCAGGGACGCAGGCTCATGGTGTCTGCAGCTTGCAACACTTCCACCAAGATGAAAAAGAGAAGGGGGGGGAGGTGGGGACAACTGTGGCAAAATACTTGTAAAATGAGTGAATCTAGATGAAGATACTCTTTTTTTCTTGTAGATTTGAAATTTTCAAAATAAAAAGTTGGAGGGGAGAGAAAGTAAGAGGATAGTATGTACAACTTCATGCAAAAATTTTTTCAAAATAATAGAAACCCCTTTGGAGTGTGTGTGTGTGTGCGCGCGCGTAGGCAGGAGATGAGATCAGAAAGGCATTTTGTGGGTGTTAGTTAACAGGCATAAAGCAAGGAATCGGTGACCCAGACCTCTGAAGGGGTGATGGCGACCGTCCGAGGGCAGTGGCCGTGGGAAAGAAGACAGAGGATGAAAATACAAAGCAGGTGGATGGGTGAGGGGTGGTATAATCCGCAGATTATCATTTATTCATATTTCATGATTTCCCCTCCTGCATCACCATGGATAATTGAGAACCAAATGTACACACTGTAGAGAAAAACAGAGGCGCCCCATATGGAGTTACCGTGGCTCTGGTGGAGCCGCCCTGCCTGACGACACCCACTGGCACTGAGCTTTGAGTTTGGGGCCCTGCAGTTCAGACACCCCAGCAAGGAAGCTCAGAGAGCATCTCCTTGTGTCATGGGATAAACAACAGCAGCTCACACCGGGTCCTCAATTCTTTACGTGGTGTGAAGGTACCAGAAAAGCACAAAACACAAGGCACCCTCAACAAACACTGAGAACATGGTCACAAGTTTGCGAGTGGTAGGAGCAAGGCTTCACCATGATTTACACGTTAGTATTTTTCAATTAAACGTATGTGATTTTCTGATCATCTCATTTAATCCTCAAAGAAACCTCACTTTACAGAGGCGCAAACTGAGGCTGCGAGAGATTAAATGACTGGCCGTGGTCACAGTGGGCACTGGATTTGCTGCAGCGGGCTTCCTGCCAGGAAGAGCCAGAGGGCAGCCTGCGTCACAGCGCTCTCACCGGGGGAAGCGGAAGCTGGCCTGGGTCCTCACTGGAAAGGGCAGCCCCTGCGTAAGAATTCTGGTTTCTTATGATGGGATTTACATGAAGTGCCATCAATGACGTAGATGGCAATGCCTTCCTTTTTTTCTTAACAGTAAATGAAGGCACATTCTACTTTGGGTTAATCATAATGATACCTGAGGGTCTCCCATGCAAATACAGCTCTGGGGTGTTCATCACATAAGCTCAACCAGACGGACTAAGACACACAGACAGCTCGGCAACCCCAAGGGACATCCTCCAGCATATCCAGAAAATGGGAGCAGGTGACTTTTCTGTCCAAAAGTTTCCTTCACTGGGACAGATAGCATTAGGGCTGCCTCATCCTCATTTAAGGGCCTTAGAAACTAAAATCCTTAAAAACAACAACAACAACAACAAATAGACTCTGGAATAAAAGCCTCCTCGTTTATCTCCCTGCTGTCTCTGGTGAGACCAAACAGCGCCCTCCAGTTATCCATCTGCTCGGCAAAGAGGCAGCTGTTCACCTGGAATTCCCCTTCTGGGGATGTTTTCTCTTCTTCCCCTCCAGCTTTGCTGAGATATGACTGACATAAACCACGGCGTAAGTTTAAGGTGCACAGCGTGATGATTTGATATACGCATGTGTTGTGACACGATTACCTCCACACAGTTAGCTAACACATCCATCACCTCACATAGTTAGGGGGGTTTGGGGTTTGTTTTTATGGTGAGAACTTGTAGAGGATTTGTTCTCTACATACCCTGGCACGGGGCACAAGAGTGTTCACGTTAGAGTTATTTCCATTACAGACAAGGACATTCTAGATGTCCATCAGCAGGGGTAGTCCCTCACATTAGGAGAGAGAGGTGGGTGAAAAAAAGAGATGTTTATAATTTGGATGTCCCTGACCATTAATCACTACTGATTGAAAAAATTTATTTATATACATATGTCAATTGACTTATATAATCACACTTGTATCCATATGTATTTAATGTGCACAGAAAAGTGTCTAAAAGGATACCCACCACCATGTTGGTCAGGTTCTAAAAACACTTGTAAGGGGCAAGATCCTATATAGATGCACTTTGTTTTTGAAGTTTCAGAATTTCCAGAATAGGAGCTTTACTTACTTTTACATTTCTTATTTCTTAATTTTTTTGGTGGGGGGAAGTAACTAGGTTTATGTATTTATTTTAGTGTAAGAACTGGGGATTGAACCCAGGACCTTGTGCATGCTAAACACACACTCTACCACCAAACTATATCCTCCCCTTTTGCAAGATCCTATATAGAAATTTTCTTTTAAAATTTCTAAAGGAAGATATTACAATTTGCAAAATATCCCAGAGTAAGAACTGTGGAGTTGGACTGTATAACTCAAATCCT